ACCGAAGCCACAACCTCATCCCACATCCCTCCTGCCTCCACCACAAACATCGCCGACGAGTTAGCGCGAGAGCGCGAGTACTGGGAACGCGACATCGACGTCAAAATGATCTTCAACTTCCTGATGAAACGCTTCTCCTCGCGACGCCCTAGTATCCCCTTATCTTCGCAAACCATTCCCCCACCACAACCCCTCCGCACCGCCAGCGCTCCTTCCACAACCACAAACGACAACCTCAGCTCCGCCCGCCGAGCAGCCATCATCCGCCAACACCACCCTTTGGTAAACCGGACGACGACCGATAGCAGACTCCCCACGTCGTCCGCGCCTCACTCGAGGGAGTCACGGCGCTTCGCTACATACTACGCGCCCCCGACCGGTGGCAGCAAGACTAAACTCAGGAGTAGCTCTAGTTGCGCCAGTCAGAGTACCAAGAAGAGCAAGAGAAGCGGTGGGTCATCGAGAAATTACTGGGATCTTGGTGGCAGTGTGGGTAGCGGGAGTGTTGTTGGTGGCTGAGGTGAGATGGAAGATGAGATGAGATGAGACTAGATATGGACGGACGATTACGATTATTACCCTTTTGGCATTAGAATACCTTTATGAGCATGGCAGTCGCAAGAGCATAGATTATTGGAGTCGGTTTGGATGGCCCTTTTTTACATGGCTAGTGTCGCTGCTGGATAGAGCGGCGAAGGAACGGTTTCTACTCTCTCACCTTGGCTACAAATCAGAATATCACTATTAGATCTTTTTCAACTCACTTGTATAAATACATTCTTACTCATTGTCATTGTCTTTGGGAGTAGACTCAAGCGAGTGGTCATTGAAGCCTCATGTTAATGTAGGCTCCAAAGGCCTCTACTATCACAGAGCATGTCATTGCTGGAATCTATTGTAGCAGGCAACGCGTTTACTGTTTCCTTGATGGAGGTGGACAAGTCATCATGTAGCGCACAACCTCACATCATAGAAACACAAACACATGAATACGTCGGTATAGCACCATGCTACCCGCGCCGAAGTCAAAGACCCCGGCGCAGACACGCTGGCACTTGATTGATTCTCCCTATATCCCATCCTCCCCAACCACTACCAACTTCGCGAACTAGTGCGCGAAACGACCTCACGTACGTGTTGACAACGTACTGCGGTCCAACAATTGTTGAAGCTCTGTATATCTACAGCCTGCCCTAGGCCGATCTAGATGAAAAGGAAATCCGCATAAGAAACTTTTGGAAAGTACAAACGGGCTGGTATCATGTGGGTATAGTTGTAATGCCCTGTGGACGCCGTTGAAACACTTGTTGAAAAGGCTCATTTACCCGCCTCCCAAAGATATGCAAATCTTTCTCACTCACTGACTGCGCGACGGACGCATTTGTCGTCGCGTTTATTAACTTTGAAAACGGTTGAGCTGAAGTTGATTCAAGCCCACCTTTATGTCTTAATCAAGGCGTTAGAATTAGAACTTGAGCTCCTTGGGCTTCTCCCATGTGAAGTCCTGGTTGGTGAAGTGACCGTTCTTGGCGGTCTGGAAGTAGATTGGGTTGATGAGGTTGAGCTCCTTGACGATGACACCGGGGCGGAGGTCGAAGTTGCTCTTGACAATCTCGACGAGCTCGTCGGAGGAGCGCTCCGAGGTGCCGTATGTCTCGACGAAGAGGGAGAGGGGCTCGGCGACACCGATGGCGTAGGACAGCTGCACGAGTGCGCGGCGAGCGAGCTTGGCCTGAACCAGGGACTTGGCGATCCAGCGCGCAAGGTACGCGGCGGAACGGTCGACCTTGGAGTAGTCCTTTCCGGAGAAAGCACCACCTCCGTGGGCACCCCAGCCACCGTAGGTGTCGACGATGATCTTACGTCCGGTGAGACCGGCGTCACCCTGGGGACCACCGATGATGAAGAGACCGGAGGGTTGGATCTGGCTATGTTAGTATGCTGGACAAACGTATCGAGGTTTGTGAACATACGTGGTAGACGGTCTTGTCGTCGAGCATCTTCTCGGGGATGACCTTCTTGATGATCTTCTCCTTGATCTCCTCACGGAGCTTCTCGGTGGTAATGTCCTCGCTGTGCTGGGCAGACACGACGACAGTGTCAACGCGGAGAGGAACGACGGCACCGCCATCGTGGGCGTACTCAACGGTGACCTGAGTCTTGGTGTCGGGTCGCAGCCATGGCAGAGAGCCGTCCTTGCGGGCAGCAGTCATAGCCGAGTTCAGTTTGTGGGAGAGGAGGACGGTAAGAGGGAGGAGCTCGGGGGTCTCGTCGGTGGCATATCCGAACATGATACCCTGGTCTCCGGCACCGAGCTTCTCAAGAGCCTCCTCGTAGTGGAGACCCTGAGCAATGTCGGGCGACTGCTGCTCGATAGCAACGAGGACGTTGCATGTCTTGTAGTCGAAGCCCTTGTCGGAGCTGTCGTAGCCAATGTCCTTGATGGCACCACGGATGATCTTCTGGTAGTCGAGGTGGGCCTTGGTGGTGATCTCACCGAAGACCATGATCATACCGGTCTTAGCGGCGGTCTCGCAAGCGACCTTGGAGAGGGGGTCCTCCTTGAGGCAGGCATCGAGGATGGCGTCCGAGACTTGGTCGCTGGCACACAGTCAGATATGTCCCGAAGAAGATGTGGAGAAAGTCCCGGTTTCAGCAGGTGGGGGATGCCGTCTATCGCGCCGAGCGTTACGTGTCTTTTCGCGCACCGAACAACGGCCCTGGAAGCAATTGAAGGACTGGAGGAAGCGTACGTACCAGATCTTGTCAGGATGACCCTCGCCGACTGGAAAAGTGAAGATACAAAGTCAGTAAATGTCTCACACCCAGGATATCACCGCACAGCGATGACCAGCAAGATGGAGCTTCTGGAGTGTAGCCGCGACATACCAGATTCCTACTAGCTATCAGTAATAATTTAAACAGTTTGCATAAGGGTGACCTAAAGATGTGAAAAGGAAGGTGCTCTTCGGGTTGCCATTGGGGACAGTCATGATGGCGGTCGTGATAAAGAGGCGATCGTTGGGTGATAGTTTGAAGACTTTCGACTTATGTACGGGAGGATGAGGGGGTGAAGGGCGTGGAGCGAAGTTGGAGGTTGGAGGGGTGATTTATCTGCAGCAGAGATATGCCGAAGAACGCTGAGAAAAAATGGGCACCTACGGCCCTAGCTCACCATCGCGCCATGCGCTCTCTACCTGTTAAGGTTCAGGGCCCGTTGTCTGTCCAATGAGACACGCTCCCCACATCTCTCTCACCGCCGTTCAAGACGCTAGGGCTCATGGCAGAAAAGGTTCCCGCCTGCAAGCACCGAACGTTAGTTCAGTAAAGCCGAACATTGGAATGACGCGCCAGATCAACTGAGAGCTCAACCGTGACGATGAGCAAATACGGAACCTTGGTTATGGTATGTGAATCTTTCTCTGGGGAAGATTCTAGACTAACAATAAAAGGGCCCAGCGGGCGCCGGGTGCGTAGTCCCTGCCACTGTTGATACGACTGAAGTTAATAATCTTTGAAGGAAGTCAACCTTCTGTACCGCTTTAATACAGCATCTACAGAATAGCAAACGCCCCTGCTTCTACGTAAACCTCGACCCCGCCGCCGAAGAATTCGCCTTCGAGCCCGACCTCGACATCAAAGACCTCATCAGCCTCGAAGATGTAATGGAAGAAATGAGCCTCGGCCCCAACGGCGGGCTGATCTACTGCTTCGAGTTCCTCATGGAGAATCTCGACTGGCTCACCGACCCCCTCGAAGAAGTCACCGAAGACTACCTCATCGTCTTCGACATGCCTGGCCAAATCGAACTCTACACACACGTACCCATACTACCGGGCTTGGTCAAGCACCTCATGACGGGCTCCCTCAACATCCGCATGTGCGCCGCGTACCTCCTCGAAGCGACGTTTGTTATCGATCGGCCGAAGTTTTTCTCTGGTACACTGTCTGCCATGAGCGCTATGATGATGCTGGAGATGCCGCATATCAATATACTGAGCAAGATGGATTTGGTCAAAGGGCAAATTGCGAAGCGCGACCTCAAGCGCTTTGTTGATGTCGATGCGGATCTCATTGAGGACGATCCCGCGCGCAAGAAGCATACGCCGGAGGAGGAGAGGAAATACAAAGACCCGGCGTCGACTGAGAGTCTAATGAGCGGGTCGTCATTTCATAAGCTCAACAAGGCTGTCGCGGAGCTTATCGATGGCTTCAGCATGGTCTCGTTTCTCAAGCTGGACGTGCAGGATGAGGACAGTTTGGGTGCGGTCCTGAGTTACATCGACGACGCCATCCAGTTCCACGAGTCGCAAGAGCCCAAGGAACCGAAGGATATGGAAGTCGAGTGATTTTCACATCCCAAAGTGTTTGCATTCAAGGTGTTTTGGCTACGGTGGGCATATTTGGCATTTGCGGGCGTTTACGATTCACGCAGGCTGGTGCATACATGGGCGGTGGGGGTGACGGACAAAACGAGCAGAGATACGATACCCAATACAAAGAACAATCACGAGTATTCACCTAGTGCACTACGTTGATCAGAATTATACGAGATGCACCATTGCATTTACGGAAGTACGTGTGTTCGGGGGGAACGGCTTATTTGTATAGTATTACCCGAAACACGGCGCATTATGTACCCCTCGCATCAACGTACAGTACGGTGCAGGTGGTACCTCAGCACAAGGCCTCGGTATCTGCCTCCTGTATACGTGTATGTCCGGATCATAACCTGGCGCAATCTAACAAACGACTCCCAAAAGTTTCTTGTCGTCGTCCGGCGGCTCGGGATACGTTCGGAGCCGCGCGGTGCTCGACTGAAGCGAAGAGAATACGGCGCTCGTGTCCCTACGCTTCACGAATGTATATCGTTGTACATTAGCGCCGCCGTTTCCGATCCCTTCTCGTATGCTGTCAGCCTTCTTTGTGCCAACTCATGTGTAGGATCCGTGACATCCGCGACTCAAGGCATCGGTGCAGTGAGCTTGCATCACGCAATCTCACCTGCGCCGGCTCCTATCACCACTAGCCTGCTGCGCAGCCTGCTGAGCGGCCTCGTGCCCCAGCTCACCACGCAATGCCTTGAGCTTAGCCTCTACCTCTTCCTTCTTCTTCGCCTCTTTATCCAACTGCCTCTCCACATCCTCCATCTTCTGCTTGAAGAAGTCCTGCAGCGCCTGCTCTTGTTCCTGGCTGAAAGGAACCTCGTCGGCACCCTTCTCCGGCAGTTGGGCGCTGCGCTCGCCGTTGGGCAGACCGCGTCTGAGCCTGCCGTTCGCACCGAGCGAGGCTTTCTTAGAGCCTCCCTTGCCGGCGGGTATGAGGTAGTTCCACTGGTCTTCCGATGTGAGGGCGTCGAAGAGGGCTTCGGTGGGCTCGTTAAACTGCACCACTTCGAGGAACTCGGAGCGCACGCAGCCTGTTCGCTCCTGCTCTGCTTGCATCTTTTCGTCACCATATTTCTCTAGTTGCAGAAAGTGTTGTCGGTATTGCGCCTTCTCGCCGGAGATGGGCTGGAAGTGCAGTCTTATGTCGATGTTGAAACCTCCCCATCCTGTCTCGGTCACCTCGAATGGTGGCTTCTCTACCATGCGCAAAGGATTCTCGTAAGTGTTAAATATTTTGAACGATACTTTGTTCAGCCAGGCTCGGATGTCGGGGTCGCCGTCGGGTACGCGCACGTATACGGTCCAGCGCTTCGTGTGGTCGTCGGGTACGCCCTTGGGGCGGTCGGGGTGGCCTACTGGCGGCAGCTGCCAGGCTTCGGAGCCGATTACTGCGCAGAATGAGTATATGATTTGCACATGGGTTGTGCTGCGGCTTACTGAGGTTGCGACTGATGCGCTTGTTCTGCCCATCATCAGTATGCGCCTACAGCTGTATCGGGGCGGCCGACTTGCCTTGACGCGCTTATTTGAGGCGGGCGCAGGCATCTTGTAAGTCGTATGGAATGGAATCAGCAGACACGGTCTTGTATGTTTTGTGGAGTGGTTTGCGCAAATGATAAAGTCGTGTATTCTGTCAAAGGTCGAGCTACGACTGGCACCGATATGCAGGCACGCAGGCTAACAGCTAATCCTTGTAAGCCCGCCCCGCCTACTTGTCCTGGCCCTTTCCACCTCCCTTCTCGTCCCTCGTCCTCTGGTTGTACAATTTCTCTTGCTTTCCAGCGTTCGGCTTTCCTTCGATCCTGTCTAGCGAGTCCTCGATCAGCCCAATATGACCGCGTAGCGTTCCTTCTATCTCGTCCAAGCGCGCCTCCTGCTCCTCCTCCATGTGGTCCAGCTTCTTCGTCACCCGAGATCCTGTAGAATACAACGGTTAGAAGAACAACATTACGCGCTTTATACTGGGAGTAGGATTGAAGGGAGTGTGCAGTACCAAGATATGTCGCGAAACCGGCTACAACGGTGAGGTTTGTGCCTACGAGAACGAGGTCGTTCTTGAAGAGGTTTCTGAAGGCTTGCATGATAGCTTAGTATATGGATGTTGGTTCCGTCTGGAAAGATGCGAAGTACAAGCCAGTAGTCACAATAGCATATTGCATTTGGCTCTGGCAGAGGGCTCCCGTACGCTAATATGAAGCGTCATGACGACATGGACTTTCTTTCTACTGGTCAGGAGTGCGAGTGCGACGTGCGTTACAACGCCATAGTGCTAATAACAGGTTCATCCTGTCTAGTCCATATGTATGTCTTGTGGAAATATGCCTTGACATGGAGCAACGACGCGACCTACATGCAAGACGCGGAGGTGAACAGCATCTCCGCATATCCCTGTTCGATCTTACGCGACAGACGCGAAGTGGAGTGACATCAGCACTCGTCCCTTTCCATCAGCCATTGCTCTAGCAGACAACATTTTGACCATCTGTCTGATCAACCACCACACAACACAACAATGGCCTCAACAACAGCACAAGCTGCAAAGAAGAAACTCGTGGTATGCGGCGGCAATGGCTTCTTGGGTATGCAATTGAGGAATTCCCCCGAGCTAGCTCGAGCAATAGCTTTACACCAGCACGACAGCTAGCTAACGTAGCAAACAGGTAGCCGGATATGTAGAGCAGCAGCACATAGAGGCTGGAGCGTAACCTCAATCTCGTACGCCCTTCCAATTCCACTCCAAATCAACTCAATCCTCTACTAACACCCTCCCAGACGCTCCGGCACACCCCACTGGTCCTCCGTCTCCTCGTCGCAAACACCACCCGACTGGTCCGAGAAGGTCTCATGGCAGAAAGGCGACATCCTCGACCCAGAATCCTACACAAAACATCTCGAAGGCGCAGATGCCGTAATACACAGCATGGGCATACTGCTAGAAGCGGACTACAAAGGCGTAATTAGCGGACGGGAGAGCCCAATCAAAGGACTACAACGCGCCTTCAGCAGCACCAAGGCCGGAACACAGAATCCGCTCACACGGAAGGAGGGGGAGAAGTTGAGGCCGCAGGAGAGCGATGGGCAGCTTACGTATGAGATCATGAATCGGGATACTGGTATGTTGGCGCTGGTGTTGCTATCGACTTCACAACTGGCGCAAATGACTGACTATCTTGTGTTCAAACAGCCGTTTCCCTAGCCCAAGAAGCCTCTACCCGCAAAGCCCCAACCTACCTCTACATTTCCGCCGCAGCCGGTACACCCATCCTCCCCGCACGCTACATCACAACGAAACGCGAAGCCGAGTCCCTCATCGCCTCTACCTTCCCTACCATGCGATCCATCTTCATTCGAGCGCCTTTCATGTACGATAGCAGCCGTACATTCACGCTCCCCATTGCGGCAGCAGGCGGCGTGGCTGCCATGATAAACAGCGCGGTTGGAGGAAGGCTGACATGGCTCATGGGCGCGGGTGGAATTAAGCCACTGAAAGCGGATCTGGTGGGTGAGGCGGTTGTAGAGGCACTGGAAGACGAGGATGTTAGGGGCCCGGTTGAAGTACCGGAGATTGAGAAGTTGGGTACGAGGGCGTGGAGGAAGAACATGCTATGAACATAAACGAAGAATTCGGATACATGATTGAGTAATATTCTATTCATGGTACTTCAACAACTTCGAGCGCATCTATCTAGCGCACTGGGGTAGACTCTGAACATTTGTGCTCGACGAGGTCTGCTACGAAGCAGCTTCCCTTTCTTGAGCCGTACCCAGGACCCTGGCCTGCACATGGTAGCATGTACCTCTGGGATATATCGGAATCTAAACACGACTCAGGGAAGTCGAACTTCTGCGTAGTGGGGTCTGAAGCAGCGCTGTAAGGTGGCTTTTCAGGCACTTGGACGGCAATACTGCGTTGGCCTAGTGCACTACTCTTCCTTATGACCCTTCTGTGTATGCCGCGTGTGAGCCAGGACATTTGCCTGTATACAGTGGCTGCACTTGCACGCACTTGTGCACTCCCCGCTGTCGCGAAAAGACTGCAAGCCATATGACATCTACGCTCACTTCTTCTTATGCCCACCGCCGTTCACCAACTTCTTCTTCATATGCTTCGGCATCTTCTCCTTCCTCTTCTCGCGCTTCTCCTCCTTGATCGCCTTCTTATGCGCCACCTTCTCGTCATGATCGACATGCTTCTTTCCGCGGCTGGGGCCCTTGTCGAAGATACTCTGATCAACCTCAGATCCTGAGCTACCATCGTCAGACTCAGCATCTGAAGCATCAGAGCCGTTGTTGACGACGTTGTCGGCAAGAAGGGCTTGGTAGGGAAGGTCGGAGGCACCACCGGCGTTAACGAGTTCGGCGTCGCGCTCGATGTCGTAGACCTGTTCGAGGGTTTGGGGGATGTATTGGTTGCGGAAGACGTCGTCGTCTTCTTCTTCCTTCTTACGTTCCTCTTCGGTTAACGGCTCTTTGTTTAGGAGGGTGCGGATGCTCTCTTCCATCTGCGTCTGCTCCTTGACAGTCTTCGCTCCTGCCGCGCTGGTGATGTAGGCATAAGCCTTGCGCTCACTCAGCGTCTCGACGTTGCGGGAGCGGAAGAAGTCAGATACGTTCTTGACATCCATGCGCAGGAACTCGAGAGAACGAGGATGGTCGTGTTCGACGGCTTGAGAGACATCGATGATCCACTGCTTGCCCTCGTGGTACAAGACGTTGTACTCGCTCAGATCAGCGTGGACAAGACGGCATGTCTGGTACATGATGCGCATGTACGCTAGCATCTCGAGATATAGACTTGTCCACTTCGCATCCTCTTCCTCTGCTGTGAGACCCTCGAAGCGCACGTCCTTCAGACGGGGCGCTGCCTTGCCTTTGCGGTCACCGACGAAGCCCATAACAAGGACGTGGTTCCGCAGCGCATGAGCCATTGGTGATGGAATGCCTGCGTCGTGTATCCTAGCCAGATTCCTGCGCTCCTTGTCTGCCCACATTCGTACCATGGCGCGGTTGTTGCTCTTGTTGTATCCTTGCCTGAAGCGGAACTCGCCCTCGACGTACTTTGCGCGGTCCTTGAAGACGAGAATGGACGTCTTATAAACCTTGACAGCACGGTGGATGGGGTCCGTATCCTCCTCTGGCGCTTCGGTCATGGCATGGTATACGTTGGCTTCTTTGCCCGTGGAGATGACACCGTGAATCTCTGAGATTACGCCGCGGTTTATGAGTTGCAGCAGGATCATCTGCGTCCTCCGATCCAAAACTTGTTCGGTTGTCGCGCGGTCTGCCTTGTCCTTGTCCCTTGCGTTGCCCCCAGACGCACCCGTCATGCGCCCGGTGAGGCGAATCTTGCCCGCATGCTTCGCGAGGGAGGCGACTTGGTCATCGATGGAGGCGTTTGTGTTGGCGGACGGCTTCTGCGGATTCGACTTGGGCTTGTGATCGTCTGGGATGTTCGTATCGTTTAGCTTTCGCTGGCGGTTGTAGGCTTTGGTGTAGTCGTGGTGGTCGCCGGATATTAGTTCTGGCACTATTTCGTCTTCGTCTTCGAAAAGGTCGTCAATTTCGTTATCGTCATCGTTGGTGGGCGTTTCGTTTGTGACGGGCTCTTCGACATGGTCAACTTCTTCATGCTGTTGCTGTGGCAGCTCTACTCCTCCGTCGGTTGTGGCCATTTTGGTTGTATGTGGAATGTTTACAGGTTCTGAAGGATCGGCATGGGTATGTATATTTCGTCACACGTGAAATTCGAATAATTCTGCCACCGAGGGGCAACGGCGGGGCGAGCCCTGGAAGGCGGTGTAGCGACGAGTCACGTGCCGATAGTGAGCCCGCCAGTGAGCTTCGGCTTCAGTTGTGAATCTTGGTAGCCAGAAAAAAATCAAGTGAAAAGCTTACTAGCTATTTCTGGGTAGCGCCCCGTCTACACCTGCATCTCACATGTCTGGCACCGGGCGTCGGAGCGACTGCGCCGCCTACCAAACTGCACCTGTCAGACATGCCCCTTTGCAACCTCTCCGCGCGTCCGATGCGCCGACATGTTTGCAACCGGCCGTTGGAGAGACGTCATTGATAGACGGATGATCGCCAAGATTAGATAGGAGAGCGCGCATCGCTCCAGCTGTCAGGGCTGCCCAGGTGCGCATCGCAATGACGGGAAACGTCAATCCCTCCCACTTGCTGGGCGCAGCGGCACAGCCACACCCACGCGGCCGGCCAACTCCCAAAGCATAAGAATTAGTTGCTGGGAAGAAGAAACATGAGCCAGATGATGCCAGGCACTTCTCCATTCTGATAGGCGCCTGCGGCGTCGCCGCCAGAACGGGCTCCGCGGCTCGACTATCCTGACACGCCCTAGTCTCCACAGACGGCTGGTGAAACACTTCAGGAGAGCCATCACGACCATTCAGGTCTACGCAGCGCTTGAACTGGAGACATGTTGCATGGGCTTGAGAAGCCGCATGGACTTCGGCCGCTGGCCGCTGATGCGCGTCCTGGCGCGCAGGGGAGATTGCTTCGTATAGCATTTCGTGACTTTTAATAGTCGGTGCTCCTCTGACACGCAGCACTGGCCTGCACTCTTTGTCTAACCTTTCATACTTCACACTCTCTCAGTCGATTCTCTGGACGCAGGTCGACCTCAGTCACTACATTCTTTTCAACGCTCGCTTGCGAAGCACTACATTCCTTAACACCACTCTACGCATTGTTGACATTGTGTCTTGCGTGTGAAACGATTCCGTACAGCACATCTCGGACGACTACTTCTTTTTGCCTTATCAACTTATCTCGAACAACTAGACTTTACCGAGATATTCACCATGCATTTCTCCACATACACTACCGCGAGCGTGCTGGCTGCTTTGGCCACCGCTCAGACCTTCACCGATTGCAACCCCATGGAGAAGAAATGTCCTAACAACCCTGCCATGCCTCAGAATTGGGAGACAGACTTCACTGCCGGAAAGGACGCTATCAAGGGATGGAAGCAGACTGCCGGTGAACTGAAGTATGGACCCGAGGGCGCTGAGTTTACTGTTGCCAAGAAGGGTGATGCTCCCACCATTGGATCCGAGGCCATGCTTCACTTTGGATACGTCGAGGTCGTCATGAAGGCAGCTCCCGGCGTTGGCATCATCTCCTCCATTGTCCTCCAGTCTGACAACTTGGATGAAGTCGACTGGGAATGGATTGGTGGTGTAGACAGCCGTGTACAGCAGAACTACTTCGGCAAGGTATGTGGATACAATGTGTACCTGTTCTATTAAGAAGACTAACACCAGCCAGGGCAACACTACCACCTACGATCGCATGATCGAGGCCGATGCACTCAACAACCAGAACGAGTTCCACAAGTATGCTCTCAACTGGACTTCTGAATCGCTCACCTGGATTGTTGATGACAAACCTACCCGCACACTGAACTTTGCCGATGCCAACGGCGGCAAGAACTACCCTCAGACCCCCTGCAATGTTCGTCTCGGAAACTGGCCAGGCGGTGACTCCAAGGATGAAGGCACTCGCCAGTGGGCCGGAGGCAATGTCACCTACGACGATGCGCCCTTCACCATGACCGTCAAGAGCATCAAGGTCATCAACTACTCGCCCGGCAAAGAGTATGAGTGGACCGACAAGACTGGCGACTTCAAGTCCATCAAGGTTATCGATGCCGGTAACACAGAGGGTGCCCCCGTGAACAGCGTAGCCATCGAGGACTCCGCTGCCGCAACCGGAGCTCCGATCGAGTCCGGCATCGACGCCCCAGCCGCCACAGGCGGTTCTGACAGCGGTTCCGACTCAAAGCCCTCCGGTGCATCCACCACCTGCACGGAGAGCGACGCAGCAAAGCCCACACCTCCCGCTGTCCCAGCCGGCGGCAACGGCGGATCCGGCTTCAACTACCCCACCGGCGGCGCCGCTGTCCCTCAAGAGTCAGGCAGCCCTGACTCTCCCACTGGCAGCGACAGCGAAGATGAGCCTTGCGAGTGCGGTACTGCTACCGTCACCGTCACTGGCGCTCCCCCAGCCATCACCAACGCACCACCCGCCACCTTCACGACCGAGTACCCTGCCGTGCCCATCTCCAGTCTGATCACTTCCGCGGTAACTTCATCGCCTCCCTACCCCACCGAGTCTGGTCTGGAGATCGACACGAGGTCCGCACCTGGTGTCGTTGTGCCATCAATTGCGCCTACTGGTGCGCTGCCCCAGCCCTCTGGCAACGCTACCTTCTCTGCTCCACCATCGCAGTTCACTGGTGCAGCGAGCCATGTCAAGGCCGGTGGTCTTGTTGGTGCTGTTATGGGTGCTGTCTTGCTTGCTTTCTAGATCGCTTGACGGAGTACTGATGATATCGGAAAATATATGCAAGGGGAAATTACGTTGGTTGTAAATATTATTTCAGTGGTAGAGCGTTCGATACGCATACTACATTTTTGACGACAAAGACATGTTTTGATCAAATTCTTTGTTCTGTTCCATGTGCTTGCCTGGGCGAAATCTCTACAGATTGTACTGAGTGAGATACTACCGATAAGGCTTGTCCTTCCTAGCTGGCTTCCCATCCATAAGTCCAATCCTCCCTACATCATCATCAGGATCCATGTCAGCAATGAACCCCGGAATCTCATGCAGAGCCTCGCACTCTTCAATATCAGCAATCGTAGAATACCGTTGGAGCCTCGTCCGGTACGTCTGCTGCAACTCGGCCCCTAGCCTGAAGACTGTATGCCCGTCCAGAATAGCGCTCCATCGTCGCCTGAAGCCATAGACAAGGCAGAGGCCTGAGCTGATCAAAGCCCATAGTCCGAATAAAGCCACAGGAACAGCGGCTGGCATGACGCCCGGTTCAATTACGGTGCCAGCGACAAAAGTTGTGAGGTTGGGGACGTGTGACTTGAGGCGTGTTCCGTTGACGCCTATGAAATCCCGACCGTCATTGTACATGAGCTTGATGGCGTAGGTGGAGTAAGCTTGTAGAAGGACTTGTCGAAGTTGGTCAGCTTGTAGATACTCCAGCTGAGCGTTAGATCTCATATTGCCAAAATGAACACCTCCAATATCGTTTGTAGATGCGGCAAGCGGTGACGGCAGGCCGATCGAGTCAAATAGCCACCTCAGCCAACTACCGTCTTTGATGTTGAGTGTACACACAAGTGTCTCTGCGCCAAAACGTTTCGCACAAGCGTCCTTTCGAGCAGGCACCGGGGTGTCACTCCGTTGGAAGTCGGAGTAAGTAGAGCGCACGCCGTTGATGTTTGCTGAGCCTACACTGCTGCTTGACGTACAGGATGCACCAATTGCTTTGAGCTTCTCGTTATCAACATTGACATACTCACCAGTCAGCGACTCGATAGTACGGACGATGGTGCTGTTCTGAGAACCTGGTAAGGCGTAAAGTGTCTGCCACAACAGGACCTCAAAAGTCCTCTTGTGTTCGATTCCGGGATACGGTTTTGAAGGATCTTCTTGCAGGTTATGATAGCAGTAAGACGTTGACGGGTTCTCCATCTCATCAAGCCAGCCGCAGGGCGGTTCTTCGTTCGAACCTGTTTGTGGCGACAAGGATTGATACGCAGTCTCTATGACTGCACCCATTTTCATTGTCGACTTCGTTGGGTTGGAATCGACTCGTGACTCTTTCATTACCTCCACCAAGGTGTTGTTGTCATGGAGACGATATGACATGTAGGTAATGTGTTTATCATGATCGAAAATGAAGCATTTTGTGCAGTTTGAACTAGGAATTGTGCTCTGTACGAGAGCCGGAGTGGACGTAGGAGCTGAAGCAAGGCTTTCGGTGGGGCCTAACGAGAAGGCTGCTGTCGTGAATTCGTCGATGGGAGGATTTTCAACCGTTCTGCGTTCAATTCCTATTCGTCCGAAATCTGAAACGATCGATTTACTTCTCCAGACATCTGTTGAAGATCGACGGTCTTTTAAGAGAACGAAGTCAGGCAATCTGTCTACAATCTTGCAGTCGTAATGTAGTAACAAGCCCCAGGCTCTGCCCTCAAAAGGAGCCTCACCTTGAGCGGTCAAAAAGATTTCTTCGACGCCCTCAATACTTGGCAGTATCACCGGAACACTCTTCAGAAACTCGTTCTTCTTCCGATCAAAGTTTTCAGGTGTATAGACAGCACCATGTCCAAACACACGTGCGCCGTTGTGGAATCCTCTGGACGGCATACGGGCCTCAGGGCTGGTGTTGAAGGTCGATTGAACAAATCCGGTTACGTTCACTCCTTGCCCTGACTTACCACGAAGGAAGCCACTAGTCATCTCAAGGCAGAGACCTGATATGGGCCAAGCCACGAAGACAACCACGCTTGGAAGTGCCAGAACAAACCACAAACGAGAAGGAAGCTTGCTATGTTGGTTTCGCGCCCTGCGTATTTGCACAACCCATTTGATTGCCTTCATCCAGCCACCGGGACCAGACCTTGTATTGTCAGCATGTAGCATAAGACGCATGGCATCTTCAACTTTCCAGGTTTGTTCCATGAGCATGCCAGCTTCAGCACCAGCCAGTCCGTAAAGACTTAAGCTCAGTCCGATCACTCCCGCGACGAACCAACTGTAAAAGACCCATTTGGCACCCGGTGGTCCGAAGGCCACTATTGAGTCGGGGTGGAGTGGGGCGAGGTAGATGCGCCAGACGGTGATGAGATAAGATACTACGATTATCGGCCCAAGGATGCCGACTATCGTGCGGAAGTAGAAGCGGCGAAGAGGCTGACCGAATGAACCGAGGCCCGCTTCTGGCGAGGTATTGGAGTCCGCACCATCGATATGCTCTGAGGTGAGACTGGCTGTGTGGTTTTGCAACTGGATTTCGGACGGGTGATCAGACGCAGTCGCACCCAAGTTCTGTGGGTACGAATTGATGCTCGCATACTGCTGGTATGAGTTGAAATTGCCATTCTGTTGACATTGGGTGCTATCAACGTCCTGCTGGTGATCGTATTCGGAGGTGAATCCGTGCTCAGAGAGAAGGCTGATTGAGGAGACCTCCGTGGCGAGCCCATGCGGTCTGCCATTGTCAGTCGCAAAGCCAAGCCTTGTCGCAGAATATGACTTACCGGTACTCCGAATCATATCCTTCTATCTCCCAAGTGCTGGCTCCAGGCATACCGAGTGACTTGTAACGTTGAGAACTCATGTCGGCCGGACGGCGAAGATGAGACGCAAACTTTCGCAGTAAGGCAGGAAGTGGTAGAAGGCTGGAGAGCGAGCCATCTTGAATATAAGCTGCACTGCTACCCGTTTCTTTGGCATGGCAGTTTCAGCCTTGTGATGTTGCACAAGGCTGTGGTCGAGGTGTGGGGGCGAGAGGGCGAGATTGAAGTCCAGCCTTGCACCTTCTGCATTGGCAACCAGCCGTTCAGGGTCCACATGATAACAACGATTGCTTAGTATTGGCAGGCGCCATGAAAATCATAGCTCGGTACTGCGCCATCACTCTTGTAACTACATGGAGACTGCGTCTTGTAATTCCGGTGAGAATTGGTGCAACCAACTGGCCAATCGCGTATAGAGTATGTGCACAGTAAAAGACAAGACCGCGCCTTCCCAAATGCGCCTTCCCAAGCACCTTCCTCGATGACGAAGCTGACCTTCCCTCACCACTGCCACCCGTCGTTGAAGTTTACTCCTATGAAACGTCCAACCACCACTCCCACGTATTTCAGACATCTCGAACCGTAACCCTGAGATTAGGACCAATCTCCCGCCTCACAACATAAAACCCACTGTCTTCCCTCCTTTCCGTGGTGTACTGATGTTGTTTATTCCTCTGCCACCACTTCCTCTTAGCAGCTCGTGAGCACTTCGCCCTGATACATCCGATCCATTTGGAGCATTTGCAAAGCGAAAGTTTGTACCATGCACACTTCCCGCCACTTCCAGTCCCCTCCGCTCCTACTTGTGTAGCATTCTTTTTATCACTGGCAACACCCTCTGCTGCGGGCACACCTCGTGGGTGCAGAGCTGGCGGCTGCCGCTTCGTTCGTCTATCTCTCTGGCCCCACTTTGTCCGCCGTTGAACTCCTTCGAGCAAGGACCCAGGGACGAGGTATGATGATGGATCGGGAGGGTAGGGGTTGACGAGACCGTAGGGTGTGCTGAAGGGTGTGGGTGTGGTGGGTTGAAGGTAAGAAAATTTAGTTTCGGAGCGGAGTTCTGGCGTTGGTGCGACGGTGCAGTGGCTTCGTGTACGTCTGAGGTCGGGTGAAGAGTTTGATGCTGGATCATGTTTTACAGGCGCTCTGTGGTATGGATTGGGATAGTCTGTGGGGCTGGGACGGTGGTGGAGGTTTGTGGGGGAAGATCCCGCTTCATGCTTGACTTTGCTCGCTCCCGTCGGGATGTAGTATCCCCTTTCTGGTTCCTCTTCTATCTTGACTTTTGAGGCTGGATGTGACGCATCAAAGTCACGGAAAGTCTCGACAGCGAACCTCTTGTAGCTCGAGCTAACCGACGGACCTGAAGTTTGGCTGCGAAGTGACAGTACGTCTCTATGTACCAAAGAAACATCGCTCTCCTTCTTGACTACTGTAGACCGGTAGAACTGTTCAGCCAAGGGGGTCGGTACACGGAGTGGCGATTTGGACCATGCTGTTGTGAAGGATGGGTAATGTGGTGGTGTTTCGATATCGGCTTTATCTTCGACCTTGACGTGAACTGTATGATGACGGGAGGAAGGCCCTCCGGGCTTGACTACTTTAGCTTCTTCCCTGTAGTCTCGACGTCGGGATGCTGGCGAGGTTGGGTATACCGTGTTATCAGGACTCTCGGGCTCAACTTTTACTCGTGCGCGAGTCTCTTGCTTCCTTCCCACTACTGCTATAGTGCTTTCAGTTCCAAGCGCGCTGAACCGCCCAGGTATTTGTATGATTTCGGGAGTCCTTGGAGGCACAACATTTCTGCTTTGTGTTCGAAGATCTCGTGCTGAAGAGTTTCGCCTGGATTCGGTGACCTTGGGGACCATTGTATGCCAAGGCTATCTTGCTTGATCTGGTTTCGATAGTATAGTAGATGATTGCGACGAAAAAGTCGTTCCTTGTCCTAGCAATCTTCGACAATGTTGCTGAATAATTGAATGCAGGTGGGCGTGCAAGACAGTTTTCAGGCAATCGCAGTGCTTGGTGAGTGAGTAAAGATAGAGCCCGGTGATGTACCATCGGTTGCCGACGATAGGACAACGTAATCGGGGAGGGGCCTTGACGCGGTAGATGCTGTGAGATCTGCAGGGCAATTACGAATTTCGCTGTTCGTCTACTCAGTGTGGCATGTCATGTGTGGGTGTACCCAGGAAAAAGGGTCCTGGGTGGAGCCATGGGCCCAAGATTCAATCGACCACCTGTTCTTCGCGGATGAAGACGCGTAAGCTGTTCTGGTAATGTTTTGATGTAAGTATGCCCAAATGGAAATGTAATGAAGACGTCGGACCAGCGCAAAAAAGACGATTTTGACGGAGTTATGGCATTGTCTGTCGAATGTGAGATCGAAAAACCTGCGTCAGCTGACCACCCATTGACACTGACACTGGCTCAAATGCGCCTCTTCCCGTTGCTCTCGATGCCTAATACGTCCCATACGTTGCGATGTGGAAACTGGAACATTACCCCTGGAATTGTCCAAACGCAACATCACCTCCTCCGAAAGTGGAGCAAGGGTACCGTCCGATTTCATAGTCATTTTCGAACAGTAAGGGGTCTTTCCATCTGGCGTCCACTTTTCGACCAACCTAACGGCGTAGGGGAAATTTGGCAGCGTAGTGGAATTATCCACATCGACCGTGCCTGATGCAGTATTGGTAGCGCTGGCAGTTGTAGCTCTGGTAGGGTAGATGTAACCCTCAACAGTGGTCTCATTGAAGATACACTGCCACAGACTATCCCCAGGTTGGAATAGAGTGTTCGAAGTCGCAGGATGCAGCAGTAGCTCTCTAGCCAGAGATAGCTCATCCTCACTGAGCAATACAATCTTGTCGTAGGTAGTGCGGAAGCGATAGGCAAAATCGTTTTCGTGCTCAGCATTGTTAATTGCTACAAGCTCCAAAGGTGGAATGTTCGGTATGCGTTCGCCATGGCGGATGGTGTCGTTGCTGCGCGGTGGTCCCACTGCGACCATGATTGCGCTGTCATTGCCCGCCAGAGCTGGAAGTATACTTAGTTGAAAGGTTGAGTTAGATGCACATTGCCACGCATTGGTCTGATCCTTGCTTGCCAGGCATGCCATACTCTGCTGCTGCGGAAGTTCAACAGGTAACGCAAAGATTCCACGTTGGAGGTTGTTGGTGATGTTGGTACTTGGAGGGCCATTGCTAGCAACGTGTGCTGTCGCATCATCATCGCTGTAGATTCTATGTTAATGGCATCCTTATTTTTGGCTTCGTACATCTTACCTGGTTGAGGATCGATCTTTGACAGCCAGAAGACTCAGCCCAATCGTAAGGAGCATCAGAAATTGTAAACTCAGCAAAGCTAAAATACGTTGCCGCGTGGACATTCGCTGCCATATGCATCTTGGAAGGCTAGGCAGAGGTTTGTTGAAATTATGGACTTCCTCCCACGACGGCACGAAGACTTCTTTCTCTTCTTGATCTGGACTGAGTATAGGAGCCGAGAGAACATTACTCCTTTCGAAAGGGACCGCCTCGATCCCATCCTCGATCTTTCTGATGAGACATGTTCCGGAATGAATTCCAGACGTGTTCGTTGAGTCGGAGCCGCCGTAGTTGGCTGGAAAGGTGGTATATATGCTAGGGAGTGGCTGGATGCTGCTGATGGACCGGTAAGGCAGCCGCATGGGTGCAATCCAAAGTTATTTTTTAACAAATATTAATAAAGAATGTATTCCTGGTGTTGAACCTGGACCGGCCAGGCACGCAGGGCTGCAGGAAGCGAATGAGAGAGTAGAGAGTGAGTAAAAATAATGAGTGCCGCATACCAGAAATAGTCCCACATGAAGGGATATAAACATTTGCTCATGACCTGTTGAGTTCATGAGAAGTATGTGCCGTGCTTGCATATCGCTTTAGCTACGCCGTGCTCATACTACAGCTCGATATCCAATCGAACACCTACCACAACCAGGGTCTGCCTGTATCTCGGCTCGTGTTTGCTATCAGATCAAGGACAGATTGAGTAAGAGGCTGGAAGTGTAATCGTTAGCAGCCTAGAGTATTGGCTCTGCGCTGCCCATATGCGATGGATTGTAGGTAGACTATACGATAGCCGCCCACCATCATGCCGGTCCTCCGAACGGCCGTGGTGCCTGGGAAGCCAAAGCGCGGACCGGACCGAATGCGAACAGCTGTTGCGAAGAATGGGATCAGGAAACGCGGTTTGACTTGTGCGCTTGCGCAAGCCGAGGCCACACATATAATTCTCGGCGTAAAGTATTGTTGGCAAGCTGTGCTCGAGACTGAGAGGTTCAAATGCATAAGTCGCGAGTAGAGACCTCCGTGTTGAATCGAACATGGTTGTTGGAGCAAGCAGCGCGAAAGGTTGTACCGTGTGTCAACGCGCGTGTTTGGTGTGTGACGACTAGCCGCCGCCCAGACGTGCCGCAGGTCGCATCACCGGTCGAAGACAGAGCGATCGAGTAGAGCTGTCGGCCTGTATCTCTGCCGTCTCGTTCTTTTACCGCCGAGTGTAGAATTGCAGCACGTGTGAAAGCTCATGCTTGGTCGGCCGCCTAGGTGATGGGTCCAGGGTATTGAGACGCGTCGTGAAAATGTGGGTGGTTGGTTGGGTTAGCTCCACCAGCTCTTCCGAGGCGGGCAGGATCGACCCGAAGCGCGTCAGGAACCCGACCAATACCTTCACAACCATCCAAAGACGCCCCATCGACTGCTGCTTCCTCTTGGTGACGAACAAATCGCGCTTCGGATTGTGCAGTTGCCTTCCCGTTCTCAGAGTGCACCAATATCTACCCCGTTCTACTGTCTGTTCCCCGGGTGAACGCAGAGGCCACCAAGTTTCGCAAATATTGACATGTTTCGAAACAAGAAACAGTGCACCAGCGCCATCTCACCATTGTTTCGAAGACAGGCAATCGTCAGGATTTTATGCTGAATTGCGCATATTTCCTACTTCGATAGAGCTGACCAACATGGCTCCCCTGGCGTCATCCGCTCTGTCTCCAAACGTGCCA